AAGTGGGACAAACCTTGTGATTTTTTTAGGAGCCCTTTGCGCGCAAACTAATTTATTCTGGCGCGAAATGAAGATTAAGAAAATGTATCTGAAATCTAATACACGACAAGAAAATTTTCGCACTTTCGAGGAGCGCGACATATTAAATGGGATTAAGTCGGATTAGCTGGCCGCGGAGAAAACATCCCTGCGTGGGATGGTACTTCCAGTAAAAGCCTCTGTGTCCTCTCATGCTCCCGCGAGTTTTATTTCATATTAGCGCGTTCTAGGTGGCTCCAGGATCCATTTCAAAGAAAAAAAAATTACAGGCTAAACCGATCTCAGATCGGTCTAATTTCCAAAAGCGACCTCAATGTGAAGGAGGCCTAATCACAACTGTAGAACCAGAAAACATGAAAAGCCTGTTTGATCCTCGATCGAGTCTGAGATGACTGAGCGATCGAGAGAGACTTGCGCGTTTCTGACACTTTGGCTCGTTTTAAGCGTTTAACAACTATATAGCGCTCATGTATACGATATTTTCCCCAAGGACGACGTAAAATTTATATTACATTCAATTATGATTGAGAAAAAAATCAATCAGCGGGCTTAAAACTATACACTTAACGTTTCTTTTGTTCATGATTGTGACTTGCTTGGCGCCACGTTCAGCACAGTCCACAGATCGACACGAAAGAAAAATCATGCAGCTTTGCCTTTGGCACGTTTAGATCTATCGCAGTCAGCTAAAAATTGGTGTAAAAATTCACAACACAGTATTACAGGTACCTTTCTCTCTCAGCCTTTCGTGTTTGCTTGTGTTTTCCAATAACGTCTTTTTTAAAAAAGAAAAAGTAGAAAAGAAAAATCCAACAAACAACAAACTTCAAACTGGTCTGATCGAAGAGGTGGCGAGATTTCACTCAAATGCCGGGGGATGAATGAAAAAGGCACCCACCGCGTCCTTGCACGTGATTACTTTAGTGACAGCTAATTGGTACGGTTCGACAGTTCCTGGCTTATGAAACTGTTCTCAGCGAAACTACTAGGACCAAATTAGGAACTAGAAGACTGTGAATTTCTTTTTTTTCTTTTTAGGTAAACTGTTGAACGTAGACGTTTATTTTCATTTGTGAACCAGGAGGACCAGGAAGGTTGAAGAAAAGGTTCACCCCAGGTGCTCCTTTTTCAGTCCTATGCCAGGTCAAAAAGCTCGCATAAAATCGCTTTTGATTTTTTAAAGTTCAGCGTAGCGAGTGAACAACAGAGAATCAAAGCCAGAGGTCGAAGTTATTCGTAACAATTCAATTTATACCTTAAAAACGCTGCGCTGTGTTCCCTTGAAAACCCCGAATTTTGTGATTCTCCCAGCCGCTCATAAGCAAGGGTTCCCTCGCTATTATAGAATTTTAATCATGTGACCGTGACCTCGACCTTTCATATGGAGCTCGTGAACTATTCTTTTGACACCAGATATGCCGATATTATGTCGTCAAGTTCAGGTCTATACCTTCGGGAGGCTTTCCATAGACTGATGGTTTTTCTTTCGAGCGAGTAGCTCAATTTAATCTGGAGTGAATCTTTAGTAAGTTGGATTCCGGATTCCAATCTTTAGTAGGATTCCGGATTCTTAGTGCTGGATTCCGGATTCCAAAGCCCAGGATTCCGGATTCCACAAGCAAAAAATTCGTGGATTCCGGAATCCGGATTCCCTTACATGGGGCGATTTATGGCATACGTGTACGATTGAATTTGTAGAACAGTTAGCACATTAAGTGATTATAATTAGAGTTTCCTATCAAATAGGTAACTTAGTAGTAGGATAGTGCATTTAATTCATTTTCAGCTACTTATGGAGTAGGTCATACGAACGAAATAGGCAATGACAAATAGACAATATCGAGTGAAGACACAAATATATCAGAATATGGCTTATAAAACGTCGGGTATGCGACTAGATCTGCCGACTAGCTAGCAAACAACTGTGATTAGGGTTTCCTGTCCAGTAGGTTTCTTATTATTAGCAATTATTGAATGAGGCTGAGCGGTATGATGTGAAGAATTATGCAGATCGAGGAGGATGATATCCACCGAGGCTGAACTTAGTTTAATTCAAAAGTTTTTAAAATTCTTAACGAGCTTACCTCCTCGCAGACTATCTGTTAAACTTTCGCCGATTTTTACACAGTTTCAGGATAGAAAATCAGTTTATATAACATCCATCGAGGTCGTCAAGCAATATGTTTTGCGTATTCTTGCTTTCATTCCTCTCCGCGCGTTTTCGTCAGGAATTCGGCTATTTCGTCTTCAAATAGCTACATGAACGCCATCTTTTCGTTTCCTCGGGAATGAACATCTTGGCCGCCGTGCCTTGAAACAAAGTTGATCGATGGTCTATTGCCCTTGTAACCCTGTTTTCAATTTAATGTACCTTTGATCAACCTCGTGTCCTTGACGACTCTTCTATGAATGTAATGGGGACGCTCGTCAGTTAATTAGAATTAGGCCCCTAAGAGATAAATCTAGGTATCACTTGGGCTAACTGCAAGAAGAATAGAAAAAAAATGATAACAACCTAAGAGCTATTGTGATTTTCATTGTGATAAAGACGTTGGCATCGAATGCTGTTCTCCTATAGTTTGTTTAATATGGATTATTACGCACAGCTCTCCGTCGGTGATACCTGAATGGGTGTAAGATTGACCTTCCGTCCTGAGTACCTTCGAGTCCAAGATTCACTAGTACCATGAACAAGTCTAGTAACATGCGAATACAGCCCTCGTCTTAACTAGGTCTATCCAAATATTTCCACCTTTACCGGCGTTGCACGAGTTAGTTCTGCTGTTAATCCAACTCCCTTCGTCCACGATTAAGGACAGGTTAGAAATTTACAAATTTGGTATCTTTTTGTGATAAGGAATAAAATTATAAGAATTCTGTGGACTTACATGAATACACAATTCTAGTTTGAATATTATCGTTACTTGGCTTTCGAAAATTGCAAGATTAAAGTTTACCATTTTTTGTTTTATCCATCTTTTAATAAGAATAAAAATGTCAAAATACAAGGAATAATATCTCCGAATGAACACCAAATGTTGAGGGCAAACTTATTATGGTAATATTTGTTCAGTTCATTCAACGTTATTTAGCTTGCGCCAGAGAATCAATCATACTTAAATTTACTCCTTATTTTCTCTTTTCTTTTTTTAATATATTTTGCTTTTTGGACAAGGTTATTGAAATTATTTGTTCACTTCATTTGCTGTATTTCTTCCCAAAATTTTAATGATGGCATGTTACAAATTGTAAAGACCGCTATTTATTTGCAAATACATGTGATTCTACAACAGGGATGTTAATAATTCATTAATCCAATAAATGCTGTATTAGCCTAGCCATTTGACAAAGGCAGTAGTGGGGGAATGTGAGGCCTCCAGTAATTTAGGGGGTCTCCGGGGCATGCTTTCGTTCACAAAAATTGAAAACCAAATTCTCAGGATCGTAATTTCCAGCATTCAGAGGATGAAATAAAGTGATAGTAGTGTTAAGGGCAGCTTTCATTACAATATTTCTATGGGTTAAGTCTTGCCTTCAGTGTTCAATGGTGTTTATTCTTTGTATTATAAAGAAACTGTCAAAGACCTTTTTTAAAGAGAGCGGCAGCGCGATCCGAGACCTACGTAGAAGTGGTGGACGAACGCTGGTACAGCTAGTAAGAGAATGTAACATTTTCTATGTAGACTATGTATTCTACCAACGGTGTTGAATTGTCCTAAAATAACGTTTGGTGCAATGATTCTCATATTTTTCCAAAGAAGAAAAAGTCCTCGTGCTTAAGCTCCCTAATGTTATAATTCGACCTTCTTGCTGTTTTCACCGTCAAGTGTAATGATTCTGTTAGCTTTTATTTCTTGTTTCCTTGTTTCTTTTTGCTTCGTTAAGGACCAAATAGCTTCTTTTCAATTAAAGAAAATCATTGTGTTTTTTAACTAAGTGTTCCGTGTGTGTGTTTATTTCATTGCGTGATTGCGACCGAGGTTGATTACAAAGTACAACCGGTTCAGAGTTGTACTACATGCAGTTGATTGTTTGAACGTGGAACATGAATTACGATTGAAAAAAATAAAGCAATTCTGTATCATGCAGACATTTCCAAACGATATTTTTCAGTTTGCCACTTGAAAATCGTGCTTTACGTTTTGCATAAATTGACGCGAAGGTCAAGGAGTAGTGACGTCACTAGACGGCATTAACAGCCGGTCGATTCAGACGTTACTGAGGGAGTAATAGAGGATGTTAGCATCGACAACGAGTACGAGTTCTAGAACGAGATCAGCGATTTTGCGTACTGCGCATCCGTTCTGCGCATCTCCACGTTTTCAAGTCGTCCTGTCAAGTTGCACTACGACGAGTTCTCACCAAAAACTCGAAGTGGGTAGAACGACTGGGAAGAGATGGTTTCAAAGGTAAATTCCGATCTTTTAATGCAGTTTCTTTTCGTTTCTAGCCTCTCTTTATCATCTTGAACATTCCTTATATAATGTTTTATGTAAAATACTGCTTTTGAAGTCGAGGAAAAGCAACCGAACGCGATATTTCCAATACAGAGTAAATTTGCATTTACCCGAGAAAGTTTCATGTCTCTCCACAGGCCTCACAGGCTCACGAAATAACCCCGAAAATTGCGATTATTTGGTCGAAAATATCCCAACAGTCGAAGATATCAATAAAGAATAATTACTTCTTTATCCAGTGTGGTTGTTGTGTTGAATTTGATGGGTTTTAGCGTGTTTTAAGACCGCGACTAACCATCCTTCGAGTTTCCTCGAAAAATCGATTTTCGTTTGAAAACTGGAGGATGGACCGTCAGGCTCTCGAAACACGCTAATACTCATCAAATTCAACACAAGAACCACACTGGATAAGGAGCTAAGTATTCTTCATTCATATCTTCTTCTGTTGGGATATTTTTCGCCACATAATGACAATTTTGGGGTTATTTCCAGGATTCTATCAAGATGGCCGAAGCAGAAATGTAAGAGGACCAAAGAGTACTTGTTTTTCTTTATATGCGTATTATTCTGTCTAATTTAGGTTGTTTATAAGGTGCGTGAAGTGCATTAAAAACTCCATGATTTAAGTTTAATATGGCTTAAGTTAACTTTAAACTATATTTATGCTTACTCGACTGGCATCAAGTTTTCACTTTGTTGAGCTGAAATTTGTCTACAGAATCGAATGATGCATTGAGTCAAATTCTAGAATAACTGAGTTCAGGTTAAACTGTATTTAATTCTTTTATTTTTTGCGAGAGAAGGATGGATTACGAAAAATAATCCACATCATTTTTGATTCAAGTATTTTCATGAAAAAATGCACTGGCATAAAGAGAACTCATACTCTAATAGCCCACTTTTTAGAATAAACTTTGCAAACTCTGTAGTTTATGCCCAACCTTGGGATGATGTCTACTGTTTTAGGCTTAATTTTTATCTAACATACTTCAATATCCATAAGATGTAACTATTTCATATGCAGGTCTCCCATCATGCAGCTATAAGCTGCCTATTTTTCATGAAGCTCTCATGAAACAGAAACAGGGCCTGGCTAACAACCTCGTTGTGAAAGGGAGTACATTTTTTTAAAAAAACTTCAAAAGGAAGCTCATTGAATATAAGTTGGTTTTGGTTACTGGGGTTTGGAACAGAAGCCATTTATGATCACGCATTGAACTTAACTACCAAAGCTCAGTTTCCATGATCCTAAAGGCCCCAAAATTCCTAAAGTAGGTGTTGTTTGGTGGTAGTAGTGCATGGTTTTCTCACTTTTAAAGTAAGTTTCTTGCAAATTTTTTCCCAGCAAATAGGATTAACATTGGCATGGTACCTTAAATTTTTTTAAATTGTACTCTTTTCATTTTCATTTTTCATTTTTTCAGGAAAAGAAAGCTGTTTATCTGGAAAAAGCAACATGAATTGTGCCTGCTCAACGAGGTCACATGTGTAGAACCATATGCCAAAAAGCAAAGTGACAGAGGTGCAGCATGGAGAACTATTGCCAGCAATCTTAATGGCAACAAGCAAGAGGGATTCAAGGTTACAGAAAGATCCTCTAGAGATCGGTTCAAAAAAATCATGGAAGAATTTGAAAATAAGGAGCAAATAGAGAAAAAGGCCTCTGGCATAGATGCTGAGTATGACGAGCTGGACCAATTGTGCCAAGACATAAAAGAGCGAATGGAGGACGTTAGTAGCCGGGAGGAAGCAGAAAGTGCAAAGAAAAAAGCAGTCAGAAAAAGCAGCAAGCATGAGGCAGATGGCAATGGAAACTGTTGCAGAAAACTAGAAAAGGAAGAGCACACGGGGTGATGAAGAATCACAGCCTCCACACAGACGAGGTGCAGATACAATGCAATTTTTGCAAGAAAGCCTCCAGATAGGGTCACAGCAATTAAAGGCTGAGCAGGCGCTTCGTGAGAGAGAGCTTCAACTCAGAGAGGCCGAGTTAAGGCAAACACAGCAACAGCAACAGCAGCAACAACAGCTTTTGCTGCAAATGTTACAACAGCTGACTGACGTTATCAAGACAAACAAAAGCTCTTGAACTCTTGTGTTTTTGTACAACAAAGCTCTTTAAAGTTTTTGTACGTTAAAGTTCTTTAAAGTTTCAGGAATGTCTTTGTCACATACTTAGGAATCAATAACATATTCTTTTACAATTCTTTTATTGCATACTGTACTTGAGAAGTGTTGATTATACAGAAAAGGCAAAAGGTGTTACCGTGTTGGTTGACACCTCCACCCCACCCCATAGCTAATCCCCAGTACTCCCTTAGCATCTTAATTTGTAATGAAAGTATTCTTCCAGTTTTGGGGGTGCTAGGTCAAAGTACTGGGACACCTGGCTACCATAACAACGAACAAGAGCATTTTTTAATAGAGTAGCAACTAAATATTGCTTTCCGACTGCATTCATGCCAATTTTGAGATTCTTCTTGAAATCTGTGAATGCCCAGTTTGTGGTTATTTCTCCAAAAGACCACTCTACAGTTGCCCGCACATCTGTCATGATTGAACGTCATGATTGAACGTCTCTTGAGCAGGAGTGAGTCTTGCACCCTTGAACCCTATTTGCAAGTATACTCTGTGGGGGTAGGCTGGGTCCCCATAAACACATAGGGGTGTGCCATCTGGTGCCCACGAGTGCCTCTCCAGGTCTTGGTACAAGCCTGACATCCTTAGCATGCCTGCATAATGCTTTCTCCCTTCTGTAAATGGAAAGAAAGTAAATGAACATCTTTTTAGTCTTAGGGGATAGTCTGATGGGAGGGGGGGTTAAGTCCATCCCAACCTGTGGAAATTGTGGAGTCTACCAAAACTATTAACACGTGATAGTTTTGTTTGGAAACAAATGAAGTCATTTAGTTTAACCAACCAATAGGACCAAACATTCGCACTATTATGCCATTTGCAGCTAAGACTTGCTCAAGTTTGAGGCTATGTACTCTCTTGTGTCCATTGTAGAATATGTGTTGACCCTGAGAAGGTCTGCAGATAGGCCTGACCTGTAGCAAACAAAAAACCACAAAACAAAATAATCTTTTTATGTTTTCATCGGTAAATTTTAACTTTTAAAAAGCTCTAATAACCTCGGGGGGCTTTATTTAATTCTGTGCCTCGTACAAGAGGGGGGGAGAGGCTTATTTAGAACTCCAGAGTCAAAATAACATGCTGCTGAAATCTTGCCAGTTTTGATAAATTTTGTATAAGGTATACATAGCGTTAGATTTGTGCTAGAGAAATGCTATAAAGTCAAAACTCGAGAAGAAGCAAAATCTGACTTACTAGATGATAGACGATCAAGTTTAATGTTGTGGCACTGTTAAAAGCTTAAGAGTAAAATCAGTTCTTTAAAAAATATTTTGCCATGCCTGAATTATTACAAAAAGGGGAGGGGAGGGGAAAGGGTTTGTTAGAGATTTTACAGTAAAAACAAACAAAATAATATAAAATACACACTAGACTAAAATACTGTATTTTGAAAGTTTCTATATAACTTACAGTGCCATCTACAAACCCCCAGCAATTTGGAAGTGCAGCACCCTTCGCATAAACAGCATCAGCCATTTCCTTAAGTCTCTGTCGGGTCAGCCAGGGGTGGTGAAGGGGGTCAAGGGTAGTCAGCAGATGCCCGTGCTGTTCATAAATCTCATCCATCACCTTAGAGGCTTTCCAAGCTGAGTTATCATGCCTGGATAACGGCATGGATAAGCCAAACGTTGCAAGAGAATACACAGCCCTTCCTCTGTATAGGCCGCTGTTCGATTTTCGCACACTAATTTTTCCGGTAGACGCAAAATACGACCAAGGTAGGGAATGACCTTGTCGCTAAAACGAAAGCGGCCGAAGCACTCTTCCTCGGAAACTTCATTCAGGTCGAATCTTCGATACTTTCCATGCTCAAATACAGGATAATCTGTGCTGTTTACATCATATAAAGCACAAAATTCTTCTTCGTCCAAAAACCTTCCATGTAACTGAATAACAAACAGTCTTGAACGTTTTTTAGAGTCATTTTTGGTTTTCGAAATTGTTGTGGAAGCGCTACCTCGACTCAAACTTGGCGTCCAGTCATGCGGAATCCCATAATTTTATTTTCTATAAACTCGAACTCGGTGTCATCGCTAACATAGAAAGCTGAGAAAACGACTTCTAGTACGAGTACGGCTTGAAGTCGTTCTCGTACTCGTACTCGTTGTTGATGCTAACATCGTCTTATAACGACTCGAAGTAATCAGATAAAATTCAGGCTACCTCTACAAGGGTTTGAACACGATTTTAATTAAAGTACTTTACGAGCGCTGCGGTAGTTGACCGCAAAAGTGTTACGAAGATAGATGCTCAACTGGCTTATTAAGTCACTACCTAGCAACCAGACGTTACGCATTTTTTAACTTCCGGAACGCTGAGGCTTGTGATAAGAGCCTGAGGACGAGGTACACTTCCAATAAACAAAATGGCCTACTGGCTCAATCATCTCAGGAAGAAAGGCTTTACACAGATTTGTGTTGCACGTGGAACTGTTTTATTACCCGGTGAGGGTGATTGGAGAGGAGAGGTTAAACTTTTTTATAATAATAGTAAGATGGACAACGATTACTGCATTTATACCAGCAAGACAACGGGAGATGAGATGTGGGTATGCGAGTTATTGATGTTTTACTCTTTCACTTCCAAGAGTGCACTGACAAAATCAAAACGAATTTCATTTCGTCCAGTAAGGGAAGGCCCTGGGGACGAGGTTGGGGGGGGGGGGTCACCATAAGGAAATATTTTGACGCGTAAGAGGGTAACAAAGAAAAAACACAAAAAATTATCACGACAATTTATTTGCGAAGATATAAAACACGACGAAAGTCAAAGAGCTACTTAACCTATGAATTAGTGGACATAGCGAACATAATTTGTCAGTCCCTTGGCGTGACCTCTCACGCGAAAACGTTCCTTACGGTTTGCCGTTTTCGAACGGATTTGGTATCCGTTTGAACGGCTCGGTGTATCCGTTCAAAAAAATTCTCATCCGTTCGAACGGCTTGGGCTATCTATTCGGGAAAAATTGCCATCCGTTCGAGGGGCTCGGGCTATCCGTTCGAAAAAGAATTTGTCGACCGTTCGAGCGAGTGAAGCTATCTGTTCAAAGATAAATTTTAGCCGAGTTTCCATCCCAAAACCATTTCGTCGCTAGCCACTCGCGTCGAACGATCTGTTATTCTCCAAGTCACGTACGTTACGAAGTTTGTTTACAAACGCATCATATATGAATAGTTACGTATCTCTGCTCCTTTGTAGCCATCTTCGCTTTCATATTATCAATCCATTATCGACAGTATCGACATACGTTTTATTCAATACTCAAGATTTTTTTTTCGACAAGTTTCCCGAAAATAATATTTTTTATCTTTTACGCTTTTGTAGTTTATGAGCCAGCGGAACGAAACTTTATTTTCCTTGCGTGTCGAGAACACAAAACACGAAAAATAATTATCTCAGTTGGTTGCATTTCTTCTTCTCTTGACTATTTCTCTATCATAAAGAACGAAGTTACACGAGTCTTTTCCAGCACGTTAAACTTTTCGTGACAATTTTCTCATCAATGAAATCGGCGACGCGCAATTTTACCGCAAACTCAAATATGCAAATTTCGATACTCACACTGTGTTATCGCACGACGAGGTCCTGATCTCTTTAATTCGATTTCTTCAAGTGTTGCTTTCTTCTTGACGCAGTGCGAGAAAAGTACAGTTATGTTTCCTACGCGACCGTGCATTTCAATTGCAGAATTGTAGAATTCAATAGAAATTACATGAAACGCTCAAAATTTGTCTGTGACTTGAGCGCATAAGGAGTTAGCATAAGGAATTCGCTTATCTGTTATACAATTCAACAGAAAATACATGAAACTCACAAAATTTGGCATCCTAGTGAACAAAACTACTTCTTTGTTCACTTCAATAAGAGATACCAATATTTCCAGGGGGTGTGCAAAAATTATGGAAATTCCGGAGGGAAGAGGGGGGGGGGTAAATTTTGGGGGCCGATTTTGGAAAATCCAGAGGGGAGAGGGGTCATACGGCAAATCCCTTCGATCGGGGTGGTATGGATATTTTCTGGAACCACACAATTTAACAGTGATACTGAACCCTTTTTATTTAAAAAGCTAGCATATTTATGTGTTTATGCGGTCACTTTAATGTATCTGTTGTAGTTAATTTTTAATCATGTGTAATTATTTGTTTTTCTTTTGTTTTTGGGTATGGTAATGTGTGCTAATGGCATGTCCATTTATCATTTTATTTTATATGGTCTGTTCTTCATTAAACACCTAAATACAGTAAACAACGGCCACTGATAAGAACCTGTGGATTAAGAACCTCCTGGCAGAAATTTGCCAATTTAGTACCTAAAATACAAGAACCTGTTTAGCCTAGCCTGCGTTACAGCCGGCCCACTCACTCGTCTAAACCATTTGTATAGTCCATCTGCGAATTTGTGCTCAAATTAAAGCTCGTTCTAATATCCTGCAGAGTCGCAAAGACATATGTGAGCGTTTCTGATAGGCGGGTTTCTTATGCGCCTCACGATTGGCCCAATTCTTACGTGTGCGTGACAGTTGGGTGCAGTGACATGTCAAAATTCACAGAAGGGAGTTGGCAAGGATCGTTTCACAGTTTACAGTTTACAGCAGTTCGAACTCTAAAAACTTCTTCTGCACAAAAAAATGCTTTCAGAGAATTCCTTTAAGGCCAGAATTTAATTTGCCGACCTGTTTTCCGGCGTCTTCCAATTGCTGCAGATGCACTGCCGTATGTTCTGCAATCTAGCTTAATTGCAGTTCTAGGCTTCTAGCGTCAAAATAAGTCAGGAAATCATGATACTCCCAGCAAAAAAAAAAAAAAACTACACACTTGTTGCTCTGATTCAGGTCCAGGCATTTCAGAGAAACCAAAGAAACTATAAGTTATTTAGCCGCAAGAAAAAAGCTTAAGGCTTTTAATGGTAAACGGCATCTGCGATCAAATCCTGTCAGAAAACATCTGCAGAAACATAAACCATAGAAACTATTTGCTCAATATGCATGGAACAGACTGCTAACCTGTGAATGTGAGACTAGGTAGCCAAAAAAAAATTGCTCAGTCAAATTGTGGAATACTCCATGCACTGCACAAACTGCGCAAAAAAGAGCAAGAAAAACCTCTGTTTTTCAAGCTGACTAGATACAGTCACATTTCGCACGAGCTCAGTCTCTCTTGTCACGAGCCAGTCACGAGCTATTAGTCGTGTTTGGCCTGTCAACACTTAATACGAATCATACTAATAACAAACTGTGTAAGAATCTAGCCAATAAAAAACGCAGACATACATCCTTGCGACTCTGCGACTCCCGGGGGTACTTTAGGAATTTCTGGGTGGGGATGTGCCGCTGGGACCCTGGAACCCTTAACCTATACCAGAGCTAGTTCAGCTGAATTTTTCTACCCTATACTAGAGTAAACTCCCAAATCCCCCCTATCCTAGAGTAGCTGTTTCCCTAGTGTAGATAAAATCTTCAACCAACTGATTAGTTTCCTGAAAAATAATACCCTATTCTAGACCCAAACGCTCTGATTTATATACCCTATCCTAGAGTAAACTGCTTGAAAACCATACCCTTCACAGCGGCACATACCTATATAGCCCATATTTGGCAGTGCCCCCCGGGCGACTCTGCCAATTCAAACACGATATTGTGCACTAATTCGCAGACGCTCTATACAGAAGGTTTAGAGCGTCTGCTCCGCGGGCAAGTTAAGCCAAACAAGATCATCATTCGAAGTTAAGCTTAAATTATGATAAACAATTTAACAAAGGGGGGTAACCATGAGCTGTAGATTTAAGTATTCTTAATTCTGGCTTACTACACGAAGCAGGATTTCCTCGCGAAGAGTTTTTTACTTCCTACTTTATGGACAGTCGAGTATGCTTTATGATATTTACTTTTTATATATTATTTGACGATTTGTTTCTGAATTGATTGAGTACATGCACGTATGAATACGAGAAAATCAAGGGCCTAGATTTGATGGAAATTAAATCGTAATTTGCCAGAGAGCAAAAAAACCTGATGAACATGGCACATCATTTCAGCCATCGCCGAAAATAAACCACATACTCAACACCAGAGTCATTTGCATTCAATGAAAGTTTACAACACCCGAGCCACACCATCTGCACCATTGATAGAAGTTTTGCTCATTAAGATTCTTCTTTTTCTCGAACACTGAGGTATCCACTTGTTCCAAAGTAATCAACACTTGTAAGCGATAGTATTTGTGGACCAACCTGTTCTGGAAAAGCTCTAAATCTTTTCCAGTCATGCCGTGATATTTATCCGGCCAGTTTCCATGGTCTCTGCTAGCTTCAACCCTGGGACCATGTCTTACATTTTGTGTACTGTAAATACTAAGGGAAAAAAAAACTTGCAGATTCTGAGTCCACAATCGAGACTAACAAGAAATTTGGTCATTAGGTTTGTTAGGGTTATATGTATAATAGTACAATAAAAATATTATTATGAATAACTAAATAGTTTATTTATTTTTCTGATTTTAAATCAACAATCTATCTCCTTCATACGTTAAAACTAAGAACCTAATTAAGAACCTACATAGCCTAATTTACCAATAAGTACCCCATAGTACAAGAATAATAAATATAATAAATATATA